TGTAAGACTATATAGATGGATATGATGGAATTTAAGAGAAAAAATGCTAAAAATGGCCAAAACGAAAGAGAACGAAAGTTCAAGGACTAAAGTGCAAATAACTTAAAGATAACTTGAAGGACTAATCAAGAATGTAAACGAGCTAAGTACCAATTTGGTTATAATATGGGATGTTAGAAAAGTGGCCATAAAGCAATCTCACATTAATTACATTGAAAGATATTAGACAAGGGGCCAGTCACTCAATATTTTTAGGCTAACATCCATTTAATAAAGACATCACATCAATCAATCCTAAAGATACGCCTTTCGAACCCTCTTTTGGGCGTTATGAACTTCAAGTGTGAAGGGGTTCGACAGAAAAGAACAACACCACTTCGGATAAACAAGGAGTAACATCACTTCGGAGAATTTCAGTAGTATGACCTCGGCTGTCAGTGAAAGCACTTTCATAACTCTTTCTTTACTCTTGATTCAATGCAACATGCATGAACATAGTGCTTCCACATGTTCCCACTGAAAGCACTACTTATGATCAGTAACATAAATAAAACATTACAGTCACTTAACGTGCAATGCTCGTCCACCTATCTAGTTTTTCAATAAGATGTAAATCTAATAATTGAATTTTAAATAATGTGTCGAGATGGTCAAACTTGTTACTTTAATTAATTAACGAATCACGTGATATTTCATTTAAGTTAATTGATCATTTAATGACACGCAATTGCCATAGAATAGTGCTTAAAAGGGAAGTCGTCAGTTGACCCGGCCATGTAAGGCCCTTTTGGTGGTGGCTTACTTGCATATAAAAAATAAAAAATAAATAAAAAAAAAATTTCAATTGGTCACTTAACATATAGTTGGTTTTCAATTTCGTCACTCAATTTTAGTTTGTTCCAAACTATTGTCCAACTTTAAATTCTATTTCACGTTGATCACTAATTTATTTTTTTTTTAATTTTTTTTCTAAATTAGTCAATAAATTTTAAGTTTTGTTTCACATTGGTCTCTATAATAGTCTCCATCATTTAAAAGACAGTGTTAAATTTAATACATTAAATGACCAATATGTTGTGATATTTGAGAGCGAACCCCTTTGAAGACTTGCATTAGGGGCATCAGCGAGTCGGGTTGAGTTACCTAGCGAATTGAAACTCGTGGCTCATGCACAACCCAACTAAACAAAAGCTTGAGCTCTTAGCACGAGGCAAGGTGAGCCAAAACTCTGCCGAAATTTGGAGGCTTATCTCAGGCTTTTGAGCAGAGCCAAGCTGAGCAGGCTTACGAATATTTATTTATTTTTTAAATTCATGAAATATTCATATAAAGAAATCAAACAAGTTCTTATTCTCCACTAAAATGCAATAAAAAAATTATTCATATAGGTAAGAGAATATATGAATCAAAGTACAATTTTCAACTGTATAAATATCCTGATATTCACTTATAGAATTAAAAATACTGGAATAGAAAATATATTTTAAGTTTCAACACCACAAGATAACATATAATATTATATTAGCTTCCATGTAATAAAATTTAAAATTTATAACAATAAAATATAATTGGAATACTAATTAATATGATAATAAATTATAAATATAGATAGTTGTAGCCTAATTGTGAATATTAATTATGTAAGCATATTTATATATAAGTTGTACTTTATTGATTTTAAATCTTAAATAAAATATTAATAAAAAAAATTGAATGCTGGCAATGGGTCAAGTCGAGCTGTAACATGGACCATTATCACGAGCCAATCGGTGTTGCTTGATGAGCCACACTGGTCAATTCAAGCTCGAGCCAAGTCCTGAAATTTGGGCTTGACCCTAGTTGGGTTGAGCTTATTTTTGGGCTCAACCATTGGCTGCCTGAGCCGATGGACTCATTGCCATCCCTAAGTTGCATGTAGCCTTAAGTAGTGATCAATAAGAAATAAATTTTATAGTTGGTTTACTACTGTGATTGATGTTAAACATATCTTAAAGTTTGATACTTAATTTGAAATAAATTAAAGTTGGGTGACAAAATGAAACATGCCTATAAATACAATGACCACTCGGATCACTTTTTACTCCTTATTAAGCCTCTATTTAATTTAGTTAAAAAGGTTATAAAAATTTAATTTAAAGTTAATAATTAATTTTAACTATATATTTTTTGAGACCCCGAATTTATCAACTTTTTAACTACACATTTCCTCAATTTTTAATAAAAGTTGAATTTTTTTAGCAAAATCAAATAGAGCTAAAGCAATTAGAGAATTGACATTACGAATGTAACTTAAACTAGTGGAAAATTTAAGTGATCAAATTTAAACAATTTAAAGATCAAGATAAAACATGACTATAAATTGGATGATCAAACATATTACCCTCACTCTCTCATTGAAAAAAAATAAATAAAAAATGAAAATAAAAATAAAATATAAAAAAGAAGCTAAACTATGTAGTGCCTTGACAATCAATGTAGAATCCAACAACCAATTCTTACGTAATTTTAGGCCATGTCTAAACAACCATAATTGGTGTACATTCCATTTGACAGCATCTTTGACAAAATGTCACATGACATTTTGCCATTGGACAATTTCAAAATTAAAAAACTATTTTTTTCATCCAATCAAATTTGGCTAACACACTTTATTGTCAACAAGGTTATAATAAGTGATGTACAAATAACAAAATTCATGTCCAAATTACATGGAACAAGGTCAGGATTGGCAACGGAGGGTCTATATTGGCTAGCAGAATCCAAACAAGTGCTCTACAATTTCTATTAGAGTTATGCTCAGGAGCCTCTCTCACAATAATGGGTCCCTCCCCATGAGGGACCCATTGTTAAAAAATATACCCAAAATATCCACTCCATCCTCGAATGTGAGAGGAGTTGCTCTACCAAACCACCAAGTCTGGTAGAGTAGCACGGTCCTTTCTATTATATTTGGATCCAAATTCAATAAAAAATTGTCAAGTATTTGAACCGTAAAAATTCTGTCAAATTTTTGTAGGACGTGTGCCATAACTCTTGGCTAGTAGGGGTCGAGCGTTTTCTCTTGCAACTCATTCGCCACGTGTACATTTGTTTTGACAGCAAACCACACGACAATTCCCAATATAAATGTAATTAATTAGTTATATCAGAATTCAGAAATACATTTATTTCCCCAACTAACTACTTAATACGTCGGCAGGCAGCAGTACCTTTTTAAATTGCCCTAATTATAACCACCACCCAACTCCAACTTTTCCTTAACAAGTGGTCAATGCTGACCTTAGGATGGACACCATTCTATTTACTTTGTAACGAATTATGGTCTAATGATTTTTTTTATAATAACGCAACCAATGATTTTTTTTAAAGATATAAAATCAAATCGAAACCGAATCATTTAATTCTGATTTCATTATTTAAATTTTCAAATAATAAATGTAAATTAAAATCTATCATTATATCCATAAATTAGTAACATAAGCTTTCAGCAGGTTCAAATTATCAATTATCAAATATAATACTATATAATAAAATTCATTCACAAAAATTCAAAGTAAAAATTGATTAATTGATTGATTTTTTTTGTGATTCACTTATTTGTACTAAAAAAAAAATCATTAATTTTATTGTAGAGCAGAATCGCACCACTCGATTGGGTTCGATTTTGGTTTGGTTTGATTATTTTGTCCACCAATCTTTGATACAAGAGGACATATACTCTTCAAGATAGAGGAGCTTGAATCGAGTAGGGGCTGGTTTCTCAACAAGGCCCTATTTATCGAGACACAAAATGGCAAGACTGTTCTGTGAGTAATCTCATTAAAATCATAGGAAGTCTTGAACGCGATGGTCATAATAGTCCTTTCTTCGTCCATTTTCTCTTTCGAAAAGAACCTAATCTATTCAATCCTTTAAATTGTAAATTATTGGACCTATTGATTCACATCATTTTTTTTTATATCACTTCAATAATTCTAATATATACCAAAGATAAAGGTAATAGAGTAATTAAACCAAAAAAAATATATATGATACCTCTTGATAAGAACCGCGCATGCGACACCCAAGGGCCCCACACATCCCTCATAGGAAGTCGACGACAAGCATTTCGCCCATATGGTCAGCAACCTCGTTATAAACATACTCATAGGACTTTAATAATAATACCATGGACCCGTTTGACAAGATTTTTATTTTTGCTTTTATTTTTTGTAAAAGAGTTTCACAAGTAAGTCACATTTAGGTTATGTTTGTCTATTATTTTACCACGTTCTACAATATTATTTTTTCTACAGTACTCATTTTCAATGACATATTATTCATTAAAATAATATTACACGTAAATTAAAATTTTTTTATTCTTTTTTAACTACACATTTCAACATCAATCGCTATTCCATAATACATTACTCGCAAATAATGGGGTACAAACAAGCACTTAGTTAAATTTCTCCAAAAGTTCTTCTAAGCTGATAAAATATTGTCAAAAAAAAATTTATTTAAATATGTTCAATAATAGTTTTTTAACTCTAGAAACAATTTTTTTTTTTTTTTTTTTACATTTTAAAAGTCCTACCAACTTCCAAATGACCCTTGAACATTTTTTGAGAATGATTTCATCAATAAATGTATATTCGATGATATAGGACGGACATACATTTTATGGCAATCCTACAATCATAGTTTGATGACTAATTTGAAAAAATAATTTCAGTACTTAAGTTCAAGAACACATCTATTTTCCAATATTATGTTCAATTATGCTACACATTTAGACTCAAACCCTAATGAGACACGTGTCGACGCATGATTGAACAATTTGAAAAATTAAAACAAAAACATTAAATCATTTTTTGACACGTCAGATTGCCTCGTCACTCCCTGTTTTTCAATATGATTAAGTGGCTTTATTCTATTAGGTTCAACAATGTCGACTAAATATTTAAGTATTTAAGTTTAATTTTTCAAAGGTTGACATTATTATTGGGAATGATATTTTTGTCTACTTGTTCTCTCTCTTATCACTATCAAACCCCAAGACTCTCAAAGCAATTCCCCCAATTTGAATAAAATTCCATATTTCAAATCCTAATCACCTTAAATATCTTGTGATCTTTTCCTTTTCAGCCTCCATTATCATGAAAAATCAAATGATTTTTTCAGCTAACTGAGGAACCCTAATCAAAGATTTGACAAACTACTCAAATCTATGGATTTAACCTCCAACCCCACTTCCTCTACAAGTCCTAATGATGCTGAAAAAGATTTGAATCTCCTATCCATCACCAACGGCGCACTCAATAAGCACCTCGGCCGCCGCCGCCACCACCAACTTCCACCGCTGCCATCAACGGTGACATATAAAGAATGTTTGAAGAACCATGCAGCCAGCTTGGGAGGGCATGCGGTGGACGGTTGTGGAGAGTTCATGCCCTCACCTACCGCCACCACCACAGATCCCACCTCTCTAAAATGCGCTGCTTGTGGCTGCCACCGAAACTTCCATCGCCGTGAACCTGAAGACACGTCCACCGCCACCCCCCATTTTCTTGATTTACGCCACCACCCTCCGCTGCCACCTATCAGGTATTCTCCCTCACCCTCATCTTCCCCCTCCCCGTCACCATCACAACCATCAAAAACTCCCCCATATGCAACCCGAATGTTACTCTCCCTCAGCACCGCCATGCCGGAGGACCACCAACAGGCACCAGTAACGCCGAAAGCGTTCAAAACCGATAATCTAAGTGGCGGCAGGAAGCGGTCGAGGACGAAATTCAGCCAGGGTCAGAAGGAAAAAATGTATTCTTTTTCAGAGAAGCTGGGGTGGAAATTGCAGAAATGCGACGAGACGGCAGCGGAAGAGTTCTGCCGCCAGATTGGCGTCACTAAAGCTGTACTCAAGGTTTGGATGCACAACAACAAGAACACCTTTGCAAAAAGAGAAATAAAAAACACCACCACCACCAACAACAATAATATCGTTAATGATGATGAAAACAAGAATATTAATAGGTCTTCTTCATCATCTTGATCCGCATTGTTTCACCCGTTGTGTATTCTAAAAGTTGTTAGCATTGATGTTTAGAGAACTTGATCGATCTAGATTTTGAGGTCAAAATGTTAAAGAGCTTCTTCTTCATCTCGATATGTAGAGAGGGTGATTAATGTTGTTCTTGTTTACTAGTTAACATTGATCATTTGCATAATTGCAGAAGATAAAGGACAAAAAATACTCGGGAAACCAATTTTTGTCAACATATTATCTATATTTTGCTTTTATAAATCTTCTTTCAAAAATAATACTTTCTAAATGAAATTAATGTAGTAATGTTTTTTAGCAGCTTACTTTGCAAAGAATGGTTTTCTATTAAATTAAGAAGACGTTTGATTGTATTTAGAAGCAATTTTTAATTGCTTACTTTGCAAAGAATGCTAAGAAATTGATATTAGTATACAAATCAAAGGTTTGAATAAAAGAAGGTGGTTTTCTAAATGCTTTTCTCTATGTCAAGAAAAGTAGCTAAAAAATTTATTTTTAAGAACAATTAATCTCGAGAAAAGTAGCTATGAATGTCACCTTCGAGCATGGTCAAATCTATTAATCGATCAAACTATAAATTATGGAAAATTATTCTTGCATTTTGATGTTAAATTTTTTGGAGAATAAATTGGGTTATTCTCGTCACGTTTGGAAGTGATTTGATGTGGATGATATTTTATCTGTCATTTTTATGATAATATATCCTTACTATTATAGGCTATAAATTATAATCCATTATTGATTGTTTAAAAGTTGATCTAATAATTAATTCTCAATTCAATGAATTTTTAAGAAGCAAAGTCTCTTCAATTTTGTCTTCTTTCCTAAGCATTCGTAAGAGGAGCTTCCTACACTTGGCTTGATAGGGATTAATGGCACATATAGAGTTGTTGGTAGACCATAATTATAATTTGATTCACGCCAATGTAAGCACCAAAAAACCAAATTTCACTCCTCCAATCATTGCTTTACTATTTTAATACCTTTAAATTCATTATTGACTTTCTTGGTATTCAAAGCTCGTTTTACTACAATATCATACATTTTAATCCATCAATACTTGTAACATGTCTAGGAGGCACATAGTGTCTATAAATTTTATTTTTATATTAAAATCTTGTTCGTTGTATTGCTCAGTCATATGTCGTGATTATCTTAACCATGTAGAGATCTGGAAAATAACATTGTAATTTGGGTGAAAGAAAGGTGTGCAGCATATAGAATAAAATCAGACAGGGCACCTAAATTAAACATTGTGGAATTGAATATGTTATCTTGTGAATCTGAACTTTTAAGGCAAGCAGAAGCAGGCTTTTGTTGGCTGATTAATTATAGATTATGAGAGCTTTGCCTTGCCACCTTACCATTGTTGGTCCGTTCCTTAAGCGGTAAGCTTTGTCTTCTTTTGCTTATTATAATATAATTAATTTATATAGCTAAGTCATCTAATTGTACTACTCATTTAAAATCGTGAGAACGATGGTTCTAAATTTTGAAAGTTTAAGGACTCATTTGGACTTTTTGCAACTAAAAAACAGATGAACTGCTGCATTTTTTTAACTAGATTATAAAAAATGAAAAAAATTTGGGAACAACTTCTATCTTCTTTTGAATTTGTGATGATGAAAGGCTTGGTTATTTGCTTGTATGGTTTGGATATAAATGGTTGGTTTGTTAAGGTTTGTGAATTTCTTGGATTTGAGAATGAAAGATGTTAGGTCAAACGAAAATAACTTGTTCTAACACTAAATTGATGTAGGAACCTGAAAATTTGACAATGAACAATTGAAAAATGAACAAAAAAGAGATGGAGAAATCAAGAAGAAGAAATTAGGAGAAAAAAACAATTAATCATATATTCAAAGGTATCTATGACCAACTAAACTAAAATCAAAAGAATTTCTAATAAACTAGAAATTAAGCTCCTGTTTGACGAATATTATTGAGAGAAAAATAATAAATTAATTAGTGATTTTTTTTTTTTATGATAATGTGTGGTTCAAGAGTGAAAATTTTTGAATTTACGTGTAAAATATTTTATTGTGTGAATGTGATTGAAAATGAATATGAGAATTAAAGAGTTTTATTTTAAAAGGAGACAAACAAATACAAAATCTAATCTAATCTAATCTAATCTAATTACTCAAAATTCTAATTGAATTCTCTTTTAAAATCCTATATAAACTCTATCTCTATCTTCATCATTATTTTAATGCGAATATAAGTATTTAAATTAGATTAAATATATTTTGATATAATTTCTCTACGCACTCATCATTCGAATTAAATACTCTTTTAAAATTCTATCTAAACTCTATCTCTATCTCCATCATCCTCGTTTGGTGCTCATGCTCTCTAAAGGTACATTTGATTGTGGGCATGAAATTTGCATGGAAAAAATAAATTCTAAGCAATTCGATTGCCTAGAACTTATTTGTATGGAAATTATTAATTAAATGTATTTAATTGATTTAGTTTTCAATCTAGAAAATATTATATTTGTCCATTTTTTATTAGTGCATAGATAAGAGATACGGGATAAATGAGAGGGAAAGAGAAAGTGAATCACTTAAAAAACAAAAATCACCACTCCCTAAAGAAAATGTTTTCCTTGTTTTCGAGGAAAATATGATAAGATGACAAAAAGTTGGAAAATATTTTTCATGAAAAAAATTGTCAATCAAACACCCCAAAAGTAAGAATTTGGGTGGAAAAGTGATATTTTCTATAAAAAAAAATAAAGATTTGATTGCGAGCATAGAATTTACAAGGAAATAAAATAAATTCTAGTCAATTGAATTGCCTGGAAATCATTTGCATGGAAATTATCAATTAAATGTGTTTGATTAATTTTATTTCCAACCTAAAAAATGTAATACTTGTCCCCTTTTTATTGGTAAGTAGATGTGTGAGAGAGATGTGATAAATGAGAGAGAAAGAGAGAGTGAATTACTTGGAAAAAAAGATATACTTCTCTTAAAGAAAATATTTTCCTTGTTTTAAATGAAAATATGGTCATGTGATATAAAGTACGAAAATATTTTTCATGGAAAAAAGATGTCAAGCAGTACAAAAGTAAAAATTTTGGTAAAAAAAATGACATTTTTCATAAAAAAAAAGATTGGTAATCAAACGCATTCTAAGATGTCATTTGGTTTGTGTAATGCACCAATTACTTATGCAATTATTATTATTACTATTATATGGATGAAAAATGCATAGGAGTTTTATGGATGATATGACTAATTTTGGTGATTCTTTTGACTCATACCTACTTAATTTGAAAGATATTTTGAGTAGGTTTAAGGAAAGAGAACTTGTGTTGAATATGGAAAATGTCATTTCATGGTGTCTTATAGGATTGTTTTGAGAAAGATCTTGTCTAGCACAAGAATACAAGTTGAAAAGTCCAAAATTCTGTTGATCTCTAAATTACCAACTCTTAAATGGTATGAGATGTGCTGTCTTTTCTTGGACACGATGGCCTACGGAACTTTTCTACCATATCCTATCCATTGTGTAACCCTCTTGTCAAAAATACTGAGTTCAACTGGACTCTAGAGTGTGAGGAAGCTTTCCTATCGCTTGTCTCCAAGCTTACCACCATTTCTATTGTGCAATCACTCAATTGGAATCTGTCATTTGAGATTATTTGTGATGCAAGAAACTTCGATGTACAAGGTTAAATTCCTCGGTCAGTGATGGGATGGGAAAGCATTCTTTACACTATGCTAGTAGAACCTTCAATAGTGCTCAAACACATTATTCTACAACTGAAAATGGAACTAGTAGTTATTGTGTTAGCACTAGAAAAATTCTATTCGTATCTTATTGGTTCAACTATCAGTATTTTTTATTGCCCATGCAACCATTGAGCACTTTCTTCCAAAAAAGATGCCAAGAATCACTTTGTCCAAAGGATCCTATTTATAGAAGAGGAGAAGTTGTGAGCGAAGTGACACGCCCTAAATTTTGCAACTTTAAGAATGGAAGCATCCCTTGATATCGCTAGCATATCGTTGGCCTCTCATTTAAGTGTTAATGTCCTTTTTTCAACAGAAACTTTTTGCTTGCCTGTCACTCGAGTGCTAGGCAAGCGATGGAGTTAGACAAATATCTCGGCTAGTTTTTCCTCTTTTCCTTCCAAATTTGGACCGCAATTTCTCATTCATTCAAAATTTGTTTTGAGATTCCATATATACCATGATAATCTACTCGACGAGTAGAACAAGTTAATCTATTTATTTTTATCATATGATTATCAGATTAAGTTTGAATATTTGACCGAAGTTGACACAAAGTCAATTTTCATATTTTATACATAACCAAATTTTTTAATCTTTAAACCAAATTCCAATATAATTTTCCTCAATGCACATGATGTATAATAATGTCCACATTGTAGATTGTGCAGTGGTGTCATTATTCATTAATCACTTGCAATGTTGTAGCTCTGTTGATTTAACTTGCTGGATCATCAAAATCTGAATTTTCTACGGTGAGATCACAATCTTCTTGTTTGCATTCTAGTTGTTTTTTACTTCAGGGAATACTCCGAATGCTCATTCGACTAGACAATATCAGGTATCTACCTCAATGAAGGACCTATGCTTTGATATCTTCGGAACAACAAAGGAAAAGAAGGATCCTAAAGAAGTTAAAGGAAAACGAAGTAGGATGTTCATAACGTCCATGACCTTGCTACGCGATTGTTACGCAACATAGTTAATCATCACATTGTGTCGAGCTTTACTATACACGTGTATCAGGCCTCCACTCATGACTCTATTCCTTTTATTTTATTTTTCTTATCTTTCATAACCATAGCTTCTAAATGCATTCCTTGAAAAAAGGAGCCTCGAGGAAGGTGGCTATTCATCTGATGATGGAGAAGAGGTAGTCATTAGGATTGTGTCTTAACTATTATGATCTCATTGGCTATCATGTTTCCATTTTCTCTAGTAATAAGTCGGTACACAGAGATGTACAGTTGAGATAAAGTTACTGAATTTGCTATCACAATTGAGTCAATAACCTATAAATGAAATCTTAAATGTATAGTTGGTACATATATGGAACATTACATTAATATCTAAAGTAGGTTA